ATCACATCATCTCTGCTTAGAATGCTTACATGGAAAACAAGAAGAAAATATGTTCCCTTGCATTTGCCACACACAGGCTTTTAGGGATGGAATTGCCACATCATTACAGTGCTTACTTGGGGAACAGACTGCTGTTGTTGAAGACTGTAGGAGACATATCCAAGGCACGAGGGACGTGCCAAGGCTGAGAAGCCCAAAGGAGATGCGTCTAAGTAGATAACCCTATTGGTTAGAAGGTGACATGATATCAGGGTATAAAGGGACGCGCCGAATTTGAAATAAACCTCTTTGTCTCACCACCTTAGGAGGAGCGTACTGATTCTTTACCATGTAAAGTACCGCCACGCAACAGAAGACCCGTAAGATTTGTACGATTTAAGAAGTGAGCTGACCTTTTAGTGATTTTGGAATATGAAAATGTGCTCCAGGAGCTTTCTCATGAGGCACTGCAGGGCATAGGAGACTGCTGTGCACAGGGAATATCTACAGTGAGATGTGATGGTAAAAACCACTTGCACACAAAGCTCCCGTATGTGAGCAACTTGTATGGATTTACACATGTTATGCGCAGATCAGACTTTGGTGCCCAGCTGGCTCTGTAGTCAAAAAGGAGGAAAAATTCTGCTTTTACTATTAATTTTGTGAAGCCACTATCAACAGCCTCAGGTAACACCTGAGGGCTTAGAGAAAGAGCCTTTCATTTGGCTTGTGTTTGCTGGGAATATAGCATCACAACAGCAACAGCTGAGTTTCTGGGAGTTTTAGTAGCAATATCCTTGTTAGAAGGTAGTTTCTATCAACATCCACTTTAACATGAGGATAACATCCCTGGTTTGTGTAATAGTATACTAATGTCTGCCGCTTTACTACGAAGTCCACATGCTTTGCTTCATCTAAGGATAGGGCTAGAACAAAGAATATAAACAGACAAACTGAATGATGTGAGATTTACTTTCACAAGCATATTTCTAGAGCTGGAACTAGAATTTGAGACATTCAAGTCTGTTCAATTTAACAGCAACACCAAACCCAGGGTATGGGGCAACTGGCAGTTTATAAGAAGATCACTCAGCCCTCTACATCTTTATCCCTTGTTCCAGGCAAGATAACAGACTTATTTCTAAATCAAATTAAACTCTAGATTTACAGTTAATATTAACTGAGAGTACATGCAAAACAATTTTCGTTGTCTGTACTGTTCGAATGTCTAATACAGTTCTTCAAACCTCCAACATCTACCTGCCATCCGAGGTCCTATGACCTTCAGTGGGAACATTTAATTGCATTTTTCACCCATAATCCTATTTTCAAGGCTAGGTAAATAATAAATGGCATTAGGAACAATTTAACTTCTACCTTCCTTTCTTATTCTGCCTGCCATTCAGGCTCAAATTGAAGTGACTATTGGTTCTAGGCTCTTCTGAGACTCTTAACCTGCATCAAGGCAATAACATTCCATCAACTAACAACCCATAACATCTTCCCACCAACATAACCACTGAATAACCAAAATCTAATAAGATATTCAACTTCAGCCTATACAAAACCCTCTCAAGTAGGAATTGGAGAAGAAAATTCTGTTCAGACCACTCTTTCTCCCAGACGCAAATGGGCAGAGGGGGAAAAGGGAAAGGATCATTTGCGCATGCAAGTCTCTACTTGCTTGCTTTTAACGGCCTGCATCATGAAGTCAAAACCTTAACAGACAAGACATGATTAGCAAACGCTTTGTGCTCTTAAAGGAGAGTAATTATAGGCATGTGAAAAAAAGAAGAGATCCCTGAGGTACTCTTCCTTGCATGCCTCCCGAGAGGCAGCAGGGCCATTAAAAATTCCATGATGAAGAGGAAAAACAGTCTGGGAACAGCCAGGAGGCAATACAGCAAATTAATACACCAGCCATCCCTTGGGAGGACTGCAAGAAAGCAGGAAACTCTCCTTGCTTCACAAAATAAAATTATACCACTAATGATAACAGTCACCACACACACAAAACGGCTTCTAATGATGGGTGTGAAATTCCCAGTGCTGTGCATACACTTTGAATGAAATCTCTTCTCATCACAGACATAAATCAAGAAAGGTAATCTAGGTAGTGTACAATTTATACAGCCTTTCAAATAAGACTTCCCAAGGAACCTTCCATATAGAAGAACCTCCTCCTTGACACTGGCAAGCCTTTCTTGAACACCCTCAACTGCGCTCAGTATTCTGGCCTTCAGCTCTACTTAAACAAAGCACTGGGTTACCAGTCCTTCAGACAAATTGCACCAAAATCCACCACTGAAACAAAGAAAACATTTCCACAGCAGAGAAAGACTCCACCTGGGATGTATACTCCTTGGGACACACTCGGTGATAGCAGAAGCTAAGCAGAAAGAGGCAATTTTGCGTGGCACAGCGGGCATCAGGTTGAAGAAACTGGATGTCCACAACAGCAAGACAATTTCTTCTCTAATACATTTCACATTATTTCAGGGGATTGGCTTCCCACACAAATTCTGACAAATTTCTGCATAGAGTTTCTCCAGGATGAGGTGCAAGCTGTTTGAGTTTCCTAAAGCACAAACTACTGAAATTGACTCCACCCATGGCAAAAGAGGGAGATGTTAACTGGGGCAATAGCTAAACAGAGCTTAGAGATCACCTGAACCTCCTGTAAGAAAATGGACTACTAAGTAGTAGGCTTAGCGCGTAAAGCACCTAAAGAAAAACTACTGTCAAGAAAATGTTTCTGTGAAGGAACAATTTCCTTCTGTGTCCTTATCAGCATCTTTACATAAAGAAAGCACCTTGTACCAAAGAGTTCAATCCTTGCCATATACATGGGGCCACAAAACACATTTGTTCTTTTCATATTTCTTTCTCCTATAAAGGTTCTTGAGCACATTTCACACTAAAATAGTAGCTACTTTCTCAAACTACAAGCATTCAGAAACACAACTGCCTCTGGGATGCTATAATTTCTCCGTCAATTCAGTAACAATTTATCAGTGCTTATGTTTGTCAGGACGCCAGTCACCTGTTCATTAGAGGATGAAAACAAAATATATTATTAATTAGTTAACTAGACTATATACTCAGCAAAGCCTAGCTAACCTGATCCCTACGGGTTTAGAAATCTCTTTGTAAACAGACTGGTTTTGGAAAGGGCCTTCACTAATCATCATAAAGGTAGAGATTTTGCCCAGTTTGAATTTTCAAGCAGGATTTGTCCAGCTCTCCTTTCTGGAAGACAAACTCCTATAGAGCCCCAAGTAAAACACTCGAGGCACAAGAAAGGTTATCCTAGCTGAAAATGAAGAGACCAATCAATTTTCTTGCTTCACAGGCAGAAAACAGCCCCAGAGTGGGGCAAAAGCACAGAAAGGAACCAATTTGCTGATGCACAATCTTCTGAATTCTCTTTATTCTCGTCCAGTTGAACATTTAAAAGCTGATTTCTTCCTCCCTCCCCCTTTCCAGCTTTAACATGCTGGCTACAGCAGCATGAGGTCATGGTGCGACATCACAAAATTCCCTGCAGAAGCCAGTGGGAGGAGAGGCTTTGTTGGGTGGGTGCCAAGCTTCTGCTCAGACACATACAACCTTAGTACATTTTTCATGCTCTATTTGCTAATTAACAAGGAAAAGAAAGCCATGAAGCTGAAAGTCCAGACGTTTCTTTCAGATTTGGTCCCCCATACAAGCACACAAGCAGAATTGTGTCCAAAGCAAGGCTTTGTCTGCATGCATGAGGAAAGACCTCAAGGGCACCTTACTTTTACATAGTCACCTGCAGCACAAGAACAGGAGTCACCTCTAAGGCCAACACATGAATTTAATTTAGGATTAGTCAGCAGAAGGTGCCTGAATAGTGTATTAGCCCCAACTACGCAGACTCAAATATATCCAACTTTGGCCAGATCAGATCTAAATTTCAGCTTTAGCAAGAGAGAGACATATCAAGCCATTAGAGGTCACCTCAGGTGAGTTCTGAATCTGCTCAGAGGGTGCTCAGAGGGTCTATTTTAGACACTCAGAATACCAAAACGCCTCAGCATGTCACCCACACAAGCTTGTCAGCACTTTCTCTCTCATCTTCTTCCGATTCTAATAGTGGACAATGATACTATGCCCACTTGTACCTATACAGCAGACTTGCAGCAACTCACTGCACGTTCCAGAACAGATTACAGTAGTTTCTAAATAATCTACCTGTCTGTCATACACTGTTTCATATACTGTAAGCACTTAGTTTATTGAGACTGTCAAATAAACTGCATCAGTATGTTTTATGCTAAGTTTGAACACGGGGTTCCTAGGGAAAAGCCTGTTAACTTACAGTAAGGTCCATGAGTATTGTTCAGGTCTGTATTGGGTCTGGCTGAGCTGGAATTCATTTCCCTGCAGTAGCCCTCACAGTGCTGTGCTTTGCATTGGTAGCTAGAAGGGTGTTGATAACACACCAGTGTTTGGGCTACTGCTGAGCACAGCATCAGCACTGTAACATTCCTTCTTCAATCGAGGGCAAGATCCTGGGAGGGGACACAAGTAGGCCAGCTGGCCCAAACTGACCAAAGGGATATTCCAGACTATATGACATCAGCTCAGATATAAAAGCTAAGGCAAGGAGCAGGAAGGCAGGCATTCATTGTCTCCAATGGCTGCCTGCTGAGGAACCGTCATGCGTACCAAAGCCCTGCTTCTCGGAGGTGGCCGACCATCGCTGCTCATGGGAAGTAGAGAATAAACTGTGTTATCTTCCACTTCACTTCGCTTTTGCGCGTACAAGCTTCCACTTTGTTTTTTTGCTTCAAATAAACTACCTTATCCCAACCCACGAGTTGTTTTTCCACTCTGTCACTCCCTGTCCAGCTGGGAAGGGGAGTGACAGAGCAGCTGGGGGGGCACCTGGCATCCAGCTAAGGTCAATCCACCAAAAGACCACACAGTACTACTGAGAAACACCTCTGAGAGGGAAGTGAGACAATGCCAACAGAGCAGAGCAAGGGAGTTACCTGGCAGTGCAGTGTGCTGGTGAGCATCTTCGGTGGGAAGCATCAGCAAGCACATCCAGAGAGTACAGAGGAGATAACGGATTGAACTGGAAAGTCAAGAGATTTTATTTAAGCAAAGTGTTAAAAGAAATAGTCTCCAGATACAGCTGCTCAGATCTATTCCCTATAGCTGCTCATACAAAGAAGACCTTTCCAACACCTCAAGGGGTGAAACTAGATGAGAACAGACTCTCACTTCAGACAAAAGGCTAACACAAAGGGGGCAACAGCAAATCTCACAACAGACAGCCTTAGCACACTCCTCTTTCAACTCACTTTATTAGAAATGCTGGTTGACTAAGAGCATAAGTGCTCTACTGCTGCATGCCTTGAGCAAAATGTTTGCTTCTCTTTCAGAAAGCCTCTTGTCTACCTTCACATTGTAGAGAGAAAACACTGTTATGAATGGTGCAAGCACAGAATTTCCCACAGAGCAGTTCCCATATTCCCTATGGTTATATGTATCACTGAAACAGACCTCTAGAAGACTCAAGTGCACCAGGTTCAGTTCACAAATAGCTCCCAATTCATTCCACAGCAAGTGAGCTGCTCCTTCCACTCCCAACTGACCTCACAAGCTGCCTTTGCAAACTGCTTAAAACAAACTTCTGAAATACTGCATAGTCAGGCTAATCTAAGATCCTTTGTTAGACACACACTAGACAAATCCTGAAAGCATCAAACCTGCACAAGATAGCTTGTTGTAAAAGATGCAATAGTTAGGACAGAAATGGAATAATCTGGTCAAACAATGCATGAAGCAAACTTTGCTCAATATGTAAATAGAAGGTTTAAACCGGTAGTTTCTCTGGGGTATGTGCATTATACTTCCATTCAGCATCTCCTCTTTATTTATAATTCACACCTCGAGCAGGAAGTTCATTTCCATCTGCTTTTCAAAGTGCTACACCAATCTCCAGAACACTTTTCTTGTATTACTAGGATAACTGATGTATTTTTAAATAAGGATAAATGAACAATCTACAGCTGTAGCAGGACTCATCATACAAGCTATCTGCAACTCCAGAACTCAGTACTAGGCCTTTACCCTAAACATTTCTGAGAAACAAGATGGATCACAAAGCTGCTGCCATCAGGGAGCTCCTCCTTAAGTGGGACTGTTAGTTTACTGTCAGTGAAGTAACACTGCAACTGCACAGCAGGGAGAATCACCAGGAACCCTCTGTAGCTGATTCAAGTTCATTTAAGAAAAACAAAAGTAATTTGTTTTGGTCATTTTAAAGCTCTACATAGTTATCATTCCTATCTCTAGCATTATAAAAGCAGCATGTGAAATGTTCTTGTTAATAGAAAATACACAACTGCACAAAGGCCTGAAAATCATTTCTTATCATACATGTATTTGTAGTCACCTCAAAGAGAAAACAGAATTCAGTCCTACTGCTCACCAACCACAAAACAATTCACAGAGGAACAGAAAGGAGTGTGCATGGCCAGGAACACTGTTAAAACGCAACTGCTCAAAATGAAGATCCTTTTTGCTTTCTGCTATTAAGAACCTGAGCTCTTATATCTTAAGTAAAAAAGTCTCCTAGCACTGAAGCTAAGAAAGACTTACTGGAGAATATAAAAGTGCATACACAAGAGTTTTAGTTACAAGAATGCCTATTTTTTTTGCTTATCACCTCTTACATTTTCCTGTTACAGTTTCTATTTAACTGTACCATTTAAGCTCACCATTTTTTTGCTTCTCTGTTGATGAGACTATCAAGTAGAAGCCTGAGTCAAAAAAGGCAAAACAAAGCATTTCAAAAGAGAAAAATGTTCCAATTCTTATGGAATTTTGAGAGGCCAAAGGTCCTCCTTTCAAAAGGCATTTTTCCTTCCACTCACTGTCAGAGAGGAAGGCTTACACTGACCTAAAACAGGCAGATAAACAAAAGGAGTTCAGTTTAAATAGACAGTATAATGCCTGAGAAATGGTTTGTGTTCAAAACCCAGAAGACATCTCAGTTCACAAAATGAGAAGGGACAGGGCTGCCTTACCTCACGTGCACAGGCCACAGTGTGTGGGAAATCAGAAGCCAGCACTGTGTCCTTTCTAGAGAGAAGGAAACCAAAAAATAAAAAAGGAAGAGCAGAGTCAGCTTACCTGGTTGCGATCTCTCTTCCCCATGGATGGTAACCAAAAACTGGAAGGAGGGCAGAGTCGAAAGGACAAGGTGGAAGCAATGCCAATGAACGAACATGAGGGGGAAAAAAAAGGAGGGTTGGGGTAAGAAGAGAAGGGGAAGGGAAGAACAAAGATGGAGGGAGAAGGAAAAAGATTAAACATCATCAGGACCCATACTGAAAACAAGAAATTTCAAATCCAAGGAAGAAACCTAGATATAAACAACTGGTGAAGGTTGGACCCATTGCACTGCAGTCAAGAGGTGCCATCCTTACCTACTCGTTCCCCAGTAAGAATAGCATCACAGGGATATCAAAGGATAGGCACCATGACAATTCCCAGTGCTGACTACAATTTAAATACACTAACTGGGGAAGGAGACAGAACAAAAAAGAAAGAGAATTTCATGGTTGCCTTGTCAGTATGATTTCTGCAGCCTGGGTATGCACCCATAGTGTGACTCCACACCAAAGCATTTAAAAAAACTAACATATAGGGCTTAGTCTCCTCTTACCATGCAAAAGATCTGCAGTTATTACAATGGCACATTATAAGGGAGGAGGAAAGAAAAAGCTGGCTGTAAACAAAAGGGCATTTGAGCAGTGTCCACACACTGGGGTAGCAATTCTAAGTAAGAAAACAGAGAAGCCATCAGTAGAGTACTGTCCCCCATTCCATAGGTTATGCTTAGGTTACTACCCAGCTCTTCATTCCCTTCAGTCCCAGGAGGGAAGGGGACCCTATAGTTCTTCATCCCCTCCCAAAGGTCTATACAACAGCTGTTAAGGGCCTTACTCTTTCTGGCGCGGATCACTAACAATATGACCTAGCCTCTCGGTGCCCAGGTTGCTCATGGAGGTCTCCTGAAACACAAAGACAGGTAAAGATTGCAAACTCACACAGTGAGCAGACATAATAGCTTGCTGCTGCCAGTAAGAACAAATCTTACTCCCCTGGGTCACATCCTTTCCTTACCAGCCCACTCTCAGCTAAACATATTCACTCTTACCTTTTAGAACCTCAGCTGAGCCAATTTAACTAAGTAGAATCTCAGAAAATCATTTAGTTTTATTCGTGAGGCTTGGTTTTTGTTATTTCAGTGATGATATTTGCTTGCAGAGGGGTTCACCAAGGACTGGACTAGTACAAACTATGCAGCACAACGATGCAGTTAAGAGCAGGAGAAATGACTGAGAAGTGCTTCTTTCCAGGTAGTCAGGGTCAGCTCGGCCATAAACAGGCTGAGAGACAGAACACTACACTATTCCACTAACAGCAGGGATTCACCAAGCACAGATGAATAAAATAAGGAGCAAAAGCACAAAGCTTTTGCCCTTTCTGAAAGCAGCAATTCAGCAGCAGGACCTCTAGCAGCTAAAAAGAGGTAGATCCTAGAAGAAAGGACTTGCACTGGGAGCACGTTCCTTCCTGTGAGACGCTGCCCTGCGTATGTGCTTGATGCTGGAATACACATACACACACAGCCTGAAGCACCAGCTGTTCACATCTGCATAGCAACTCCCTCCAAGAAGGAAGTATACTTTGCAGCAAGGGGCAGAAGATGAGAGTATAAGTCTTTCACAGGTATGGTTTGTTTCTGCCAGATACATAGGCAAAACACACTCAAAGTTTGGTGGCAGTTGTAGCAGCAGGGGTGAAAGATGGGCTATTTGTTACAGCAGGAAAATTATTAACTTAAAGTGCCATAATGTTTAAATTTACAGTTTATTACTGTGTAAATTACAAGCCATACTTTTGGTAATTAGCAGCTCGCTGGCGGGGAGCTCTGAATGAAACTCATTATTTATGATTACAATTTCGAGAGAGATGGGGAAGGGGGAGCAGTGACCTCTGCTGCAAATGACAAAGATCCCTTTAAGGTGATGAAGATGAATTAAACAAGTAAATATTATCCTTCTCATTTGGATCATTAGAGGTGTGCCGCCAGGCCCAGCCACTTGCAGGTGGCCTGAGGAACCCTACCCAAAACCAGTCTCTTGCCAGCTAAGGATTCATATTTTAAACACTGGTTACAACTAAGCAAGGTGAGTGGAAGAAAGAAGGGGCAAACAAGAATCTTTCACGTATGACTGAACTGAAGGCGACTGTCACACTCCTCTAGACCCTGGGCCCCTCTAACACACCTTGCTAGCAGATTCTATCTATGGCCACTCAGCTCAGAACTTATGCCAGTGTTTTCAAAAGCACAGAGAATATTGCAATAAAAGACAAGCCAAACACAGCCAACACCTTCCTTCTCAGAAACTTCTTTTACAACAGTCAATGCTCCATGATGCAGACCCAAACAAGTGTATCCCTCCTTTTAAGCAGACATCTGCAAAGTATTGCTTATTCCTTTAGAAAAAGGACTAATATTTTGTATGTTGGTTGCCCTATATATAATAAGACTAGTCAGTGGCTTTGGGTAGCTTTGTCTGCATTACTGCATATACCCTTTTATTCTTCTGTCACCCCACTAAAAATGCAACCACTAAAACCACCTTCCTTTGCTGCCATTAATATCAGTCAGCTTCCCTATCTAAAATTTGGCCTTCCTTCACCTTTGAGCCACCTCTCTGCCCTTGTGGTCTCAGATGAGCATGCACAAGTCTCACGCTATCACCATTTTCTCCTACATTCTGTCTAAATGTTCTTGTTATTTACTCTGTCATTCATCTTCAGGCCTCCTTTCATACTACTTTCAGTGCTGATCAACTGTCTTTGCCACCCCAAACATGCCTTAAAATCCACTTAGTCACTCAATCAATTTCTGACAGTCAAAGCAGTTAAACAAATCAAACAATACATGAAACAAAAAATATACAGAGCCACTTTCTGCAGAAGACAATTTACATGATATCTTAGAATAGTACTTCAAGACTGATCAGTATTGAAAATACAAAATTATCATCTTTCAAAAGGGCAATACCTTGCCAACAAGCCTCCTCCGACCTTTTCGGAGACAACGGGCAGCAGCTCCTGGAAGGCGATTCAGGCGAGCATGAAATCCTGGAAACCAAACCCAGAAAAACTGAGCAATGAACACAGAAGATTCTTCCTGACAAAACCACCAGGAAAAATTGTTAGTTCAGTAATCAAATCAGATCCTCTGTCTCTTGTTTTCCAGTCTCAAAGATGTAGATACGCCAGTTTATCCACAAATCAAATAAAATCCATATTTTTTTTAAAAAAGAAGACTCAAGAATGTGGGCAGCTGGTAGGAGTATTACAGTAAACTCTCCAATAGTACATCTTTTTTTAATTGGATCATGAAAAAAATCCAAAACAGATCATCAATACCATTTAAATGTAACACCTACAAACAGAATCTACTTCTCCCATCACAACAGAAGTTCTTAAACACATGGCATTCCTGATGGATCTCACCTCTCTGAGCTGGTCGTGAGGGCAAAAGGAACGTGGAAACTGAGAGCTTGTCCAGGCCTGAGTCAATCCTCTCCACTTCAGATCGGTGATCAGCTCCCCACTTAGGAAGAAGGTTGGGGACAGTGAATCCTGGAACACATTCTCCTTCATAAAACCAGTCACTTTGCTCATCATCTCCTAAAGAAACAGGATGGAATTAGCCACAAATAACATCAATGTGCCTGGTGACAATCCCTCAAAATACTAGAAGTAGGCATATTTGGATGTGAAACAGCTGAAGTCTCATTAGGAATTCCTTCCTGAAGAGCCTCATATTTGTATTCCGTTTCAATGATCCTCAGTAACTATGGGGCCTCACTAAATGCTTTAAACTATCCAACTCATCAGTCTACAGAATTTCCCTATAGAACAAAGTCCTCTTTATAGACCTGCCTAGGGCAGCTTTAGCACTCTGTTGCTACTGCATCTCATCAACCTTAGTTCAGTGTTGTGTGATGTCTTATGCAGAACTCTTTCTCTGAAGTAATTACTGTGACAACGGTAGAGGCCAATCATTTGGCACACACTATAGGCAGTCACAGGAGAGATTTCACAAGAGAAAAAGACCAGGCTCACAGAGTAAGCAAAAGGAGCATGTTCACTGATGAGAAAGATCCCTACCCTCCTAAGACAGAAGCTAAGAGAAAAACACACAACTATCAGAAATGGTCACTTTGAGCGTAAGCACTAACCATGCTGTGAGTTCTTCTCAATCAAAATTTCTTAGAATCTGTCAGAACAACAAACGCTCAGCAAAACTGAAGCAGCAGCAACAGAAGTCATGACAAAAGTCTCCGTAAAGCTGTGTCACTAATTAACGCAGCTGCAGCCTAAAACTGAACTGCATCAGGCACCATGCATAGTAAATCTGTCAGGCCAGAAAGTCCCTGAGAGTGGTAGCCCATGAGCAGTGTATGAAAAAAAGTAGGAGGAAGGCAAAGAACCTGACACACGTAGCTTTTCAGTAGCCCAACTAACAAACAGTCCCATGTAATTGCAAGGTCCTTCATCTTGCCTTAAAAAACTAACACACCTGACTCAGGGAAAACTCTCAGTTACCTACCATTAAGTCTCAACTCAAGCATCCCCACTTACTTTCCTTTCCTCACAGTTACATTACTCCTGACCAAAGTCTATGATGCCTACCCACACATCTTGCCAGGAAAAAAAAAAAAAAAGGAAACCCCACCATACCCTAAAAAAATCTAAACAAACAAACAAACAAAAAAACCCCAACAGTACAAGAAACTAAGAAAATCTCAACCTAGTAAGAATGCTGCAATCTTGCACATAACAGAAGCAGCAACACACAAAACCAACTCCAATCAGCAACAGGTAGGACAGCCAGAACACTTCAGCCCAAAGCTCTGACATTGCTTTTTATTTCTGTGATATATCAGTTGACCTACCACTTATATCTTAAAATATAAACATCCTTCTGCATCTCTTGGTAAATTAAAATTAAATAATGTTGCATAGTTCTAAGTGATCACAATTTGTGCAAAACTATCCCTTCCATTTTGGGTCTATGAGCATAGTGCAGTGTCATATCTCAAATCACTACTTTCGTATTTCATAAAACAAACTTTAACAATCAGGATCATATGCTAATACTGCAGTAATTTTCACTGTGAGAGATCCCAATGCGTGTAACAAATACAAACCAAAAAACCCACCTTACAATCAAATTATAAACTAGGACCATTCTCTGCTCATAGAAGTGTGCTGGTATGTGTAATTGCAATGATAATTCATTTAATTAGCAACAGCAAAAATATTACATGATGTAACCTCAAAAGAAGTAAGGGAAAAAACTACATTAATTTTAGTATGCTGCTAACTTAAATTTCCCATTATTCAGTTTGGAATTGTACTAGAAAACTATTTCTAAGAAGATGATCTGTGAGAAAAATAATTTTGTGCTCTCCCCATCTCACTGACCATAGACAGCTGTTGTTTTTTTACTTATTTTATGACTAGAAATTGTCCAAATTAAAAAAAAAAAAAAAGGAGAGAGATACTTCTTATTTAGCCTGAAAGTCCAACAATATTTTTTAGCCTTTTTAACATAACAGTTAACATAACATCTTGGTCAGAAATCTATCACAGTATAAACTGTTTGAACAGACCGAGACCTGACGACTAGGATGTCACATCTCTTCTAGTACCTAGACAGGTAAGGCTGTAATTGGATTTTATTAATTTATCTGAGTCACATTTCTACGTATTCTTGTATATTGAGTATCCTACTTCTAGTATCAGCCAGAAGTTAATGTCTAAAACAGGGTATAAAACCAGGGCAAGTATATAGAGCAAGCATATAGACAAGTATATATATAGAGTATCCAGTCTACATCAATCTTACCTTGGGTGATGAAGTAAAACACTTCAGTCACCACCCTGCTTTATCAACTGATATACAAGTGCTCACTGATTTCAGCTACCCTCCGAACAATCATCAGTAAAAAGAGAAGACAAAAGATTTTACTTTTCTGTTGCTTTTGAAGAACCAGAGGCTGGAAACAGTTATTTTTCAGCAAAGGTCAAAGCTGATATTTGAAATCCCTAATTATACCCATGGAGATCACAACAGATTGACCCTACAGCCTAAAATATCATCAGAAAACATGTAAGCATATTTGCTATCATTGTGTTGCCTCACTCACAGATACCCAGGTCAGTAACAAGCTAGTGGAAGCAGCATTTCCTACTGAGCTACTGATGCTACTTCCCTTAGCACGCCTATATTCCCAGAAGAGACTTCATCCAAATCTTAGCCTGGTAAATGTGACAGAATCCTAGTGCACAGAATTGCAGGTCTCTAGGGTCACAGCCCACATGCTCCAAATATAGTCCTGAGTGCCTATGTGCCTACTACAACCTATTTCATACTTACTTCTGCTATATCTCCCATAAACTGGACACTGTGTTGTCACTGATAAATAAAACCAGATTACACTTCACTCTCAAAACTCCTAAGAAATAATTTCTACAACAGACATTGAAAATACTAGGTTCAACTAATGCACACAAGGGCAAGGGAAGAACATATATTTAAAGAAATAAAACCAATCATGTATTACCGTCATCTTCTTAGCACAATTAGGTGACTTATCAGTATTAAGTAATTTTTTTTCACATCTTCTCTTTCTACCCACAGAGAAAACAACTAACAAATTCAGGCACTAATGGTGTGTAGACAACAACTAAAACATCTACAGAAACAAATCATAAGCCGTGTTCTTTCATTGTGGAGAGCTCTCAAATTCCCCTTGTACTTCTGTGCCTTTCCATAATAATAGCTTCTTATATGGCAAATATTGTGGATCTGATACACAAAGTATTTCAGCAGGAAGAGTGTACTGTCATGAAAATCACATTTTTGCAGCCCTCTCATTTCTTAACTTCTAGCCCCTCCGTGACACTGGCTTTTCTCCCACACTTCCCTCTTCGTCCCTCTTTAAACACGCACATTTCTTTGTACTTGCAAAGAAAGGAAGAAAAATTCCCCAGCAGCACAGAAGGAAAACCACAAGACAGTTGTTACCTTGTCGGCCCTCATCATTGGTAAACAGGCCGGTATCACTGCTGCTGCACACACTGCTGGTTTCACTGGAACAAAAAAACAAAACAAAAAAACCCACGGTTACAATTGCAGCAGGCACAAAACAAAAACCACTTTACTACATTCTACTGGCTTCTCCAAGACCAAAATGCTTTACACATCTCAAAAAATTGCATTTCAGATACATGGACAGGACGTAACTGCTTTCTGTTATAACCTAGCAACACTGCATCACTTGAAAAAGAGTAGAATCCTGTATCTAGTTTAGTTCTAAGTTATCAAAAAGTAATTAATACAGTGGCATTTGCCTCAGGTACTAGAATTAATAACCTAACTATGACATTGTCTGGAATACTCACCAGGAAATTAAGTGCAGTTAAAAACTCTGTCCTTGGGTCACTTAACAGCTACTGAAAACCCTCTGAAGTTCTCTACTTCAGATTCCCTTTTCTCAAAAATGTTACATTGATACACAAACCCTTCCTTCAACAGCAACTTTTATTTTATTTGGAGTGAAGAGCAGCTGGTACATTTACAACTCTTCAGCTAAATACCTTAGCACAGCATGAATTGTTGCTGCTGAATGCAACCTTGTTAGAGCATGCTTTGTGTTTGCTGAAGCAGTTAGGGGAGACTCTTAATTCTTGAACAGAAGAATAAAGCTAATAATTAATGTGTAGAAAGCCATTAACTGACTGTAGAGCTGGATAAATGTATGTAGCAGAAGTACATGCTCAGGTCAATACCAAGCATCTGATGGCTTTAATGCTGACGTTAAATCAATCCTTGGACACTTCAGGCCGTACTTCCTCCAATTTAGCCAAGAGATACCAGGACAAGCAGAAACCACTTACGGCCTACTCCTGTAGCACTAAGATCTTAGATGCAAACACCTGGTGTACCTCAGCACTCAAATCAACCTCCCTTCTAGGCATGCTGTTTGAAAGTATCTCTGGATCCCTCTTCGCCAGGGAAACTCAATCATACTAGACACCAGTATCAGCTGGAAACCCCTTGGTTCAGAAGGCTGAATGATGAGGGACCACAAAATACGTCACCCCAAAGAACTGCAGGCACACAATAAACCCCCCATCCTGTGAGCATATTACTACTCTTAGAAAATGCACCCTAAAGCACAGTCAACTCATCACGCTGGATATATACAAACTCTGCATCTTCATCATTCTATAAAGGCCATTTATACTTAAAAGATGAACAAACTGTACATCATTCTCATATTTCAGTATTTAAGTTAATATCAAGTTCTAAATTAATCCATTACAAAGCTTGGCCATTCTTTCACCCTCCCACATAGTAGCAATTAAGGCCAAGGACTGAAAACCATGAATTAATTGTTTCATTCCTAGCTCTCCTACCAACTCACTGTATACCCTGGGCCAATCCCTTAGTGTGTCTGCTTTCTCTTTTGATAGCTTGGATTAACAGTCCTCATAAGCTGCAGATGTGAGGACCAAGTGACTCCTTCATAAGGGTTTTAGCATCCTCAGAGGAAAGGTGCCTGAGAAAGGAAAAAGCATTGTCAAGATTCCAGATCACATTAACAGTATTTAAAGCATCCTGTTGCACTGAGAGCTCTTCAGTTCCTTATAGATAAGCATCACTGCCAGTACTTTACTGGAACAAACTTTCAGGGATCTCATCTTCTTCACCACCCCTTTTACACTGCAGGGCTGAACACAAACTAGACTCTTACTACACAAGCCTTTCTGCAGGTCCAGTAAGCACTGATTAATGACCTCCACTTGCAAAGAAGGCTACTTACCTTAACCACGAAATAATGAACGCTATTGATCCGACAAGCTACTGCTATAGAGTGTTATTGATCACGCAATCTTTGGTTAAAATGGTCCTCGTTTAGCAATTTCACTGTCAGAAACACCTGGAGCAAAGCATGCTTATAATTAAATAGTTTGGGGGAGTTAAAGTGAGAGGTGATGGACAGAGATCTCAGGTTTCCCCCATTTATTCTTTTGCCTGAGCTATTGTTTGTGTCAGGAGGGATATTGATTTTCTATAAAAATAAGAAAACAAGAGGCACCGAGGGGCTGCAGAAGGTCAGGCTGGGCTGGAGAAGGAGGGGAAGCTGAACACTCTGTCTTTGTCACTTGCCTTCCAAGAGAGAGGAATTTTTTCTTTATGGAGAAACTGGCCTCCAATTCATCAGCTTAGCCAGACTCTTGAATGCCACTGCAGGCTGTCATCGAAAGAGCTCCCTTCCAAAGGGTAAAGCAACTTAACTGCACACCCAGGATGAGCAATGGTTACACTCTCAGGCCAGAATATAGTAGTGGTTTTGGCTGGCATAGAGTTAAATATTTCTCATAGTAGCTCTATGGTTGTATGTTTTGGATTTGTGACCAAACCAGTGCCTGTAACACTGATGTTCTAGTTATTGCTGAGCAGTGCTTATACGGTGCCAGTGCTGTCTCTGTGTTTCACACTGCCCCACCAGTGAGCAGGCTGGGGATGCATGAGAAGGTGGGAGGGGACACAGCTGTGACAGCTGACCCCAGCTGAATACAGGAATATTCCATACCATATGGTGCCATGCTCAGCAATAAAAACTGGGAAAAAGAAGGAGGAATCTGGGGACATTTGGAATTATGGCATTTGTCTTGCCAAATAACTGCTACAAATTATGGAGTTCTGTATTCCTGGAAATGGCTGAACATCTGCCTGCTGATAGGAAGTAGGGAATTTCTTATTTTGCTTTGCTTGTGCACATAGCTTTTGCTTTACCTACTAAACTGAATTCACCTCAACCCGGGAGTTTTCTCATTTTTACTCTTCCGCTTCTCTCCCCATCCCACTGAGGGGGAGTGAGCAGGCAGCTATGTGGGGCTGAGCTGCCTATCCAGATCAATCCACAACAAACACATAAGCATTAAACCAGCAAAATCTCACAGCATTGCTGGGCCAGTAGGATCCCCAGTTCGAAAAAGTCACACTAAAAGTTCTGGCACTTGAAAATAGATGAGAGCAATTGTACATCTTTCACTAGTAAGCATGCCACTGAAAGTCATTTTTCAGACAGCTCTTATTCAGTCCTCAAACCAAACCAAACCCAGACCTGGAAGTACCAACAAGAGAAAGAACTTCAGCACTCTATATATAATTTGCCTTTGCTTTATTATGGCTGCAGGGAATCTCAAAGCATTAAGGGACAGAAGGGCATGCTACTTCTAACAGTTAACTTAGCAGTAACTGTCACCTTTGTACAAATATACAAATGACTGACTGCTTAAACCACTTGCTTCCTCTGTTGTTTCCACAATTATTTATAGATCAGGCATTGAGTCGTGTCATTACCCAATTCAAAACCATCATCATTTCCTCATCATGTTCTTGCACATCCTTCCTTCTCTCAATTTGTGTTCACCTCTTGCCACGTTTGGCAAACAATTTCAAAGATTTCATTTCATGCACATGTTGAATCATAACACTGCAGCTCATCTTCCTCCAGGAAAAGACTGGGAGCAGTCCCACGAGCAAACTATAAAAAACTACCTCCTTGTTAAGAATTCATATCCAAGACTTTCTCAGAGAATGGGAGTTTATCGACTGAATACAGGAGGGTTTTGATCTAACTTAGGATAAAAAGCCTTCTAGAAAGCAGAGAAAAATACAGGATACTTCGGCATTTAGAGATTCATTCCTGCATAACAAAGAAAATCAAGTGTCAGTGGAGGGGAGGAAAAAGAAGGTGGGGGAAAAAAAAAACGTTCTCAATATACAGCTTAGTTTGCCTGAAAACCCACTGCGTTTGTGACACTCCCTACTGCTAGAGGAGTGAACAGTGGTGGAACCACTTCAGTATGAAAGTTTTGTAAATCACCAGATCACCACAGATTGCTTCCAAGTCCCACAAGCAGCATCAGTCACCCTTCCTTGTGATGACAACCACACCATTCACCCCCCTAGGCATCCAATTTTCTTCTCCCTTCCTCAGGATATGCCCTTGTCATACATCTGTGCAAAGTTCTTCTCTTACTGTACCAGAAAAAAACATCTAGAGGACAGTGGGAGTGAGGTAAGCACAGCCAGTTTCACTCTGCTGCTAGCAGCAAAGTGCTATATTTAGAGCAGCAGAGACCAAAGCATGATCCTTCATTGCCATAAGGGATACTCCGCACTGAAGAGGGTTCTATGTATTTCTCCCTCCAACTTTGACCCTCCCCAGTGAATCATAGCACAGATCACCCATGTGGTGTTGCAGAAGTCAAATATTCCAAGCCCTAGCTTTCTGAAGAGAATCCCAAGGATTTGGCAGCAGATGGTAAGTGTCATTTGGTGCATACACTTGCACAATAATTAGTTTGAGAGCAAGGGACAACTGAGAGAGAACAAATCAGCATGGTCCTCAAGTAACAGTCCGGACATAGCTCTTTATTAACTCTTTCAAAGGCTGGAACAAATAAAGGCTGGATGAAAGCCTGATGGTTTAAGTTCAAGTTTGACATGATGGAACAGACTCTGATTGGTGAAAAAAAACCAAACAACTCAAGGAACACTGTCCATCACTGCCACATCAAGGAAGGGTATCTCCCAGTCCATCATCACTGACATGCAACATTCAGGAGCTACTCAGCACATTCCTTTTCCTGGAATACCAACAAAAAGCTCTGAAAAGATAAAACTGCTTTTAACAACTAGTAGAAAAAAGGCATCCACAAGCCTCTTGTAAAGACCCACTTTTTAGCAACAATAGCCACTCTTAAAGGAAAAAAGTGACCACTTTTTTGCTACTTCCAGGCTGTAACAGTTACATACAAACCACGCTGACCCACTAAAAATGCAATAGTGGTCCCCTGGGCCAGGACAGTGAGGACTTATTACAACCTAAGCTCTTCACAATGTCCCAGAAAATACCACTGAGAAGTTTGAGCTTCCAGTTGTTATCCACAAAGCTGTAATAACAAAGTGCCACCTGTCCACTCTGACAAACGGCAGGAGCTAGACTGTCAGAACACTTAAATGAACCTTAACATATGAACAATCATACTGGATCAAGCAGTTATACTTTCCAAATGCACTGCCCTCTGTCTGATAGGACCTGTTACAGTGGATGGTTTAAGAAAGAACATGAGAACATGACAAATGCAGACTCCTCTGTATACTTCTCCAGCTTCTAGCTGTCAGTAGTCTAAGGACTTCCTGAGCTAGATCTTTCATCTGGCCTGTAATGTTTAACAGACCCTGATAAATCTAGGCTCCACATACCACTTTTGAACATACTTAATCTTTGACCTCCAAAATGTCCTGCAGTAGAGTTCCAAATCTCACGTTTCATGAAATATGGGGTTTTTGTTTTACATGTTTCCTCAATGTCTGCTGCTTCTTACACAATGATTAATTAGAAAATAAACAATCACATTCATTTTCTGTATGCCATTGGTTAAGAAATGTCCTCCATTTGGTTCTCAGCAGTTACTTCTTTTCTAATCTGAAAAATCTTTTCAGACAGAAGCAGTTTTATAACGCCAAACCTTCTACAGAAAGAATAAAAGTCATACTCGAGGGAAAAACTTCCCAAGGTTTTTAAACTCCTAAGTTTTTTTTAAATTCAGACCATGGCATTTAAATGTCTCTTTTTAATCCCTTCTGAAATTCTGACACAAATTCATCAAAGTTCTCCAAAACTGGACATGAAGACATGCCAGACACAGGCTTATCATGTAAGTAATTCAAGTTCCCCTCAACTTCTTCATCATCTCAGTACATTCTCCCCATAGCTAGCCTTTCAAGACCAGATCAGAGCAGAGATGTAGAACTGCAAGCAAGATGTTTAGACTGAGGTTCACACAGTACCTGTACAGAGGACTAGCAGTAATGGTGGGAGGTCTTATCTGTTCTCTATTACTACCTATGGTAAATTTTGAAAACAAGAAACTGAGATCAGTTCATATCAATCACACAAGTGCCAAAGGTGGACTTACTCTCCAAACCGCAGGCCACAAGCATGCCACTTTGTAGCTGCAGGGCCACAGACATTTCAGAGGACTCCTTGTGTAACAGGAGTCAAACATATCAGCTTCCCAACTTATCAAGGAAGAATTTTGGGCCATTATACAGCGTTGACAGGAAAGACTTGGAAAGAATCTACAGTTTGGAAGTAGCTGAGATACTTCTCCTCTTCAAAGAGAGAGCAGCACTGAATAATTTTGATAAGAACTTCAAAAAGCAAGGCACGGGATTTACAAGCAGCTGCAGCAAGGCAGGGAAGAAACCAAGATCTCACCATTCTGACATGTTTTCATCTGAGCCCTGTTTCTGATCATCAGCTTCACACTCCATCCGCTCCTTCCTTCCCCCCTTGCTGAGGAAGGGCCTGTTCTCTCCTGATTCACAAAGGCCATGACTGGATGATGTCCAAGGGGCATTTTCTTTCCAGCGTGAAAGGCGTTGTTTCTTGGCTGACTTGAACCTGCAGCCCCTCTCACAGTTCCACTCTGACACCCTGAGCTTTTGCTGGAGACTGGCAGCCACCTCTGATGTCACACGTTTGACTTTCCGTCGGCGCCTGAGAGGTCGACAGGGTGCATTCTCTGTAAAGGAGTCTGACTCATGCCACAGGTGCTGCTTGCTCCTCAGGGTGGCACTAAGAGCTGGGTGTCGTTTGACCACTGCCATGTCATCAGAGTCACTGAAATTAGCTGTCAGCACCTCACGGCAATCCTTGATAGCTTCGTCCAAGCTGGACTCTGAGGCCTCACTGTAGCAGCAGGCGTGCTCTGCCTGATGTGCAAAGTCTGAGCGTCGCTTACGGCCCCGTCTCTTGCGGAGCTGTCGCCGCTGCTGCCGTGGGCTTAGCGCCATCTCTTCCCATAGCTCATCCAGTTTGTTTTGTTCTGAAGTCTGCTCTAAGGCTGAGGCCAAGTCATGCACCAGTTCATCCATTGGCAATGCCTGTGAAAAATGACAACAATTACCACCAGACATAAACACTGCTACCAACATATCACTGGATTGTAGTATGCTATAGGCTTTGTAACATTAACCAAGTTAGACACTTACTTTAGAGTTGCCTGGGAGGACCCAATGCAGGACAACTGCCACTTCTTGGGCTAACACTCACTTCTTCCTTTTGCAAGGGTTAAATCCCTCTTCTAGCCATTGTGGCACAGAGCTCCATACTGCAGCAGGTGAGTCAAGTGCTCTGTGTCTGAAAAGGCCTTAAGGTTGCATCTTTTGCGTTGAAGCAGCATGCTCTATTACACATCCTAAGGGTATGAAAGCCTGCAACTAGTTTGCTACCTCCAGTAGGTAAGCCACAGAGAAGGATTAGCCTGTTCGACAAACAGATTGCATCTTCCAAAAAGGAGACAAACAGCAAAGCTGGCAGTAAAACAGATGGTAAAACAGGTATTTTGCAGGCCAGTATCACTTCAACAGCAAAATAAGGGGCGCGGGACTCCGCGCTCCTTAGAACAGGGTGTACGAAACCGAGCCCAAACTCCTACCGCCGAAAAATCCCACCCCTTTCACCTCAGGGCTGCCAGTGTGCCATTCCCAAACTCCTGGGCAAATCCCTCACCTCACAACCCCTCCCTCCCTCTCTCCCTCCCTCTCCGTGCCTTGCAGACGTGGGATTTCTCTCCTCACCGGGCTCAGAAACACCCGCACCCCCATCCCGGTGAGCCACCCGCTGCCGGAGGCCGCCTCCCTTAGTCCTCAGGGACCCGGCCGCACCGACCCCCTCCTCTGGGGAGAAGCTGCTGCTTTTGCTCGACAGCCCCCAACCCCGCGGGGAACACCTGTTCTCAGCGCCCCGGCCCCACCGGCTCCCGCCAGGACCCCCGACCCCACTCACCGGCCAGCGCCCCGCTCCGCCAGCCCCTCGTCAGCGCCGCTTCCGGCCTGCCCGGGCCACTTCTCCGCCCGCCCCGCCCGCGGGGCGGGTCTGCCGGCGGGCCGGGTGGGGTAGTGCCGACATCGAGCAGCCCTCGCCCCGCGGCCGGCCGGCTTCTGAGCGCGGGGGGCCAGTGTCCCTTGCGTCTCTGTCTGTTTGCGCTGCGGTTGGTGCCGCTGGTGGAGACATTACAGATCCCTTACCCGCTAACGGGGCAGCCCTTCCCATATACTTACTCTCTAGTTGCTTGGTTATTGTATTTTGTTTTTAATAGACAAACGATAAACTCCGTACTCGAACTCCTCCATTTCGCTGCTGGCTAATTGTGTGTATCCTGAATTAAACCTCTCAGTGTTACTTCCCTCTCCTTAAGCCTTGCATCTCTTTTCCTCTAATTCCATTTTACATATCACCAGCAGCCATCAGAATAAAGCTCGGTGCGACCCTGCCACCATCCAGTTTTGCTTAGCATTTCTTTTTATTTCTCAATTTTCATGATATTTTTTCGGATTTGTTTTTTGGGGTTTGTTTGTTTGTTTGTTTGGGGTTTTTTTGGTTTGGTTCGGTTTGGTTTTGGTTTTTGGTTTTTTTGGGGTTTTTGTTTTGGTTTTTTCCCGGGAAGGGACAGGGTCTCGTTCTTGTTGGTTTTTTGTTTGTTTTCGGTTTTGTTTTGTTTTCGGGGGGGATTTTTTGGAGGGTTTTGTTTGTTGTTTTTTTTGTTTGAGGGGGGTGTTTGTTTTTGCAACTGAGGTGGATGCACTCACATTCAAGCTGATACTGATTCATTTTTCAAGTAATGTTTTACGAGGCAGCATACCAAAAGTTTTGTCAAAGTCCATAGCTTGCAGTATTCACTAATTTTGTAAATCCAATCAAGAGAAAGTAATCAGATTTGTCTCAATGTGATTTGTTCTCTATAAATGTATGCTGCTGCTTATTGCTCATAAATCTCTTATCCTTTGCATTTTTTCTTCTCCCCCGCCCCCCTTCTGTTTATTCCATCGTGTTGCCAGGGTCACAAGTAATTCTAAAAGGGCGATAATTGCCAAGATCACTGCTTCCTCCCTGCTCCCCCGACCTCACCCGGCAAAATACTGGCAAAGCACTTGCTTTTCCTCAGTCCTCTGGCGCTCTCCCAAGTTTGTCAACATACTTCAAAAATAGCCGAATCCTTGAGTTTGCCATTGATTCCTACACCCCAATAGGAAAAGATTCGTTTAGCTTTACTGAGTTTTCTACATGCTGTTTATCTAACCAGTCCTCTACGTTCGTCCGAGCTGTCACGTTAACATTTTCATTACCTTTTATTTATCTGACAAATTTCCTTGGAAAGGAAATATTAAAAGAAGAAAAATAGTCATTAGGTAGATAATTTTTATCCCATTTCCAAGAGCTGACTTGATTAAAGTTATTTTCTGTGCACCAATTTGCCTGTAAAATTCTGTCCTTTTGTCTTTTTTAACCCTTTCTGTGGCAGTAACTCACCTTACTTGCTGGCAGTATTTTGTTTTCCTCGCCAGTTTCCTATTGCCAATACAGGGGTTTTCTTTTTACTCTCAGATCTGAGAGCAAATCCCTCCTAAAATCTAATCCTGTTTCACCGCTGCAATCCTTTTTCATGCTTCAGGATATAAAACAGCTACAAAATGTATGGGTTAGAAAGAAACTCCCCTGATGGGAAGGTTATTTTGTAAACATCCACTTCAGAGCTTACCCCTTCATTTCAAGTAATCGGTACTGGCTGCCGTTCCAGGCAGGATAACAAATCACACAAACAATTGTGTACAAGAAATCCTGTGTTCAGATGTCCTGGGGAGATGGCAGCAGATGCCCACTCTAATTTTCCCCTCATTTTCCCAACTAGTTCTATGCTGTTTCTGTAGGTCAGCAAACTGTTCTGCAACTGGTATGAATTGTACTTCACATGTCCATTTTTTTTTCCTCATTTTCAACACTCCAACCCAAATTTCAGCAGATGTCAGCATTTGGCCTGAGTAAAGACAACAGACTGATGCACAGGGTTGATTTTCTGGGAGAGAGATAGGGCAAAAGCAAGAGACAGGATGAAAGTGCTCTTACAATTACAAAAGTCCCAAAAACTAAGAAAGTGCAGCAGAGGAGCACTGATGTATACAGGGAAACATCAGAAAACTGGGAATAGGAGTTGACAAAACATAATGAGACAGTTGGAGTAATCTGGTTTTGAGCAGTTTATGGTATTTCTGTCCAGTATTACAAGGTTCTCCCTGACATGGGCCAGCAACAGTAAATTTTGAATCCTTGCCTGCATTCAACTTCATCCCGTGTTCCGGGCAAATTGTTTACTCCCTGTGTACTTGTAGGTTGCCTGCATGGACAATGGGAACTGGCCCATCTCCTCAGCACTAGTTTGGCTCGTGAAATGCTCCAGGGAGACAAAATGTTCAGAACTCTTATCCCGGATGGATTGTTAGCTGTCACTAGGCTTTGTAAAGACAGGGATTTTTTTCCTGCCCAGAGGCTATGGTCACCTGTGCTGAACTGTTGCTGGGCCTGGAGACAGGAGAGGAGGTGTTAGTGATGAAGGATGTTTCGGAGGCAAGCAGGAGAGGAAGGTCGGCTGGATGCTGGCTGCTCATCTGGCAATGCCTTCACCCAGCTCCCTCTCCGGTGAGCAGCAGGAGCCGTATGGCCCAGTAGGACAGGGAGAGCAGCAGGGTCATTGCTCTACCCCAGCAACTGCTCTGCCTGGTCCCATGGCACTTCTCAGCAAAACCTTCCAGGGGTTAAAAGAAAAAAGAGAGACAGAAAGGGGACAAGAGACAAAGGGAGGAATAAAGTCAAAAAATGTGCCGTGAAGCTTCTTGCAGCAAAATGCGGAGAAAGTCATTTCCAACTTCTTTCATCTCAGAGATGAAGCCACTAAATAAAAGGGCAGCGCAGAACACAAGGGCTTTTAATCTGTCTCATCTCCTTCATAATAACTGCAAATTTTCCCTGGGCTCCTGGGAGTGAGCCTCTTTCCTCTGTCTTTGCCTTATCTCCCCCCTCCATATTTCACAGCCGGCTCGGCTCCCCTCACTCGGCTGCCCCCGGCCTAGTCTCCGAAAGGCCTGTGGGAGCCGCCAGCTCCCAGGGCCTCATTGTTCCCGGCTTGGGAGGAAGCTCAGGGAGGGAATTGAAGGCAAGTCAAAGGGAAACGGCATCATCGCTGCTTCATTAATGGGAACCTTTCAGCAGAAAACATATCAGAGCGAGGTCTTTTCAGAGGCAGTAATTAGCAATTTGGAGCCTTCCCCCCTCAGGAGATGCAGCTGCGATCTAACAAGTGGGAGCAGCGCTCGCCTCCTTTTACGCTTCGTATTTTTTGTTTTTCATTTTCTCCATCTTCCTCCCATTGTCCAGCCTCCTCCTCATGGCCAGATAAGGGCCCTTATTAATCACTCCCTTTTAATTCTTCATTAATGATAATAACTTTCTCTGGTGTGCGAAGAGGAGTTAATCTTTCCTGGGTATTGAGAAAGGACAGGGCTGAAAGGGAGGGAGGGAGAAGTGCACGGTGGACAAGGCTGTACTGCCATGCTTCCCTCCTGCCCCACCACCCGGAAGGAGTTTCTGAAGACTTTGGCTGTCAAGTTGCGAGTTGCCTGTTGGAAAGTCTTGGGCTCTCAGTTTAGTCAAGCTGTGTGGGTGTGGTGAGATGTACCTTGTCTCAGACATCCAGCCCTTACCAGAAACAAGTATATGTGGGCCAGAGGGAGAGACCTTCTCTGCATGTCTTTGCCAAACACTCACCAGTGTCTTGGTGTGACTAACTGGCTGTATCTACTTGTTTTGTAAGAACGCTCCCTCGGACACCTTCAAAGCCCAGTTTCCCAACACCCAACACTGTCCAAGCTTAAACAGCACCTGAATGTGGACAGAAATGGCATCTTGGAGGCTCTGCAGATGACAAGGCCCTCTCTAGTTCCTCTCCCTGCCAGCTGGTACAGTCTGCCTTCGATTGCACCCTGCCTTGGATTGCTCCCATCTGGAGGTGCCAGTCCACATCTGTGGGCATCTGTGTGAGATGACTGACAGCAGGCGGGCTCAGAATGGACAGCCCAGTGACAAAAGCTGGGTGAAATGGGCAGGGAGGGGAGGAGCTTCTCATGGAGGCTCTGGCTGTGTGTGTGAGGTAACCCAAGAACACAGAGAGGACAGTGCCACAATCCAAACATGCTTACAGAGCTCAAGCTTCTTTTCCTGGTGTTTTGTACCACTTGCTCCTTTGACAGACATTACCCCAACACCACCAGTATCGATGTGTGCTGATCTGAGGCAGTTGTCTGGCAGTGCTGGGAGTGGGTGGAGAAACCAAACTGCTGAGGGAGTCAGGGCAGGAGTGAAGAGAGACAGGGAAAAAAAAATGAAATTTGGTGTTTTCACTTCTTTGGTGTCATTTGCAGGGCAGATATCCTGTTTGCATTCTTTTACAGACCATGGCAGTAAGTACTTTTTTCTCTACAGTCAAAGCTCCTTTCTTGGCCCAACATCAGGACTCTTGCCAAAGGCTGTGGGACAGAGCAGGTCTGTTTATTTCTGGTTACTGTTTTACAACCATCAGGTGGTGTTTGCCTAATATGCTCCAGTTCTCAGCTGTGTTTGAGGGTGCAGTGAAACTCAGGCCTACATTTATGTTCCTCTGAGCAATCTGCTGCTATTGTTTGCATCTTTGGTATGCATTTAATATGGACTTAGAGGATTCCTTATAGTCCCAATAATTAGGGATAACCTGTATTTCAACGTTCTGTGACAGACCTGTGCTTAATTTCCAGTGTCCCTAATACACCGTGGGGAGATGTCTGAAAGAACAGGCTATGAACTTGAAGTAATACCAAAAGTGGGGCTGGCCTATCTGTAAATGTTGTGTTTTAATCTCACAGTGGGTCAAGCTACTCCTATTAAATGTGGGCTGGATTTTAGGTTTTATTGTTTTCCCACAGCACCTCTTCATGGGGCCAAAAGACCTCACTTGTACACAGCAAATGGAAGAGGTTT